CACACACACACACACACACACACACACACACACACACACACACACACACCCTGGCCCGTACCTGTCCCGTTCCGGGCCCTCCATGCTCCACAGGACCCCGGCGATGCGACCCGGCCGGTCGAGTCACGCGCAGGTTGCTGGTTTCCCAACGCTTGCGCACAATTGAATTGTGATGTTTGAGCCGGAGGAGCGCGCGCATCACCCCGGGCCCATTGAAAAGCAGAGTGGGGGGTCAGCACTGTTTGCCGCACAGCTGCTCCAAACAGGAAAATATGCGCAGATTTGATTCGGTGAAAATCCGGCAATTGTTCCAAAACAGCACCGTTTTTTTTTTAAACTTTTACCTCCTTTTTATTTTTTCTCTCTCAGACAGCAGAGGGAAAATGTGCTTATTTTGGCGCTGTTTATGTTCTGATCTTGTCCTCTGGTGCATCTCCAACTCTCCGCGGTGATCTACGTGATGTTTTCCCTGCCTGCTGATTCCTATCTTTCATGACGACCCCCTCCTGAAACAATAGACCCGTGTAATAATTCTTTAATAAGCTCCAAATAACAGCCAGAGCGTGTGTTGATCCGCGGCGCGCGCTTTATAAATAAGAAGTGGAGCTCTGGAGGGGGCACAGGGGGGTCATGAAATGACTATTAATAAACTGCAGTCATCAAGGAGTACAGAGTACATCACCTTTTGACCTGATTCTGTACAGAGAAAAGAAAACCTGATAATTATTACTGTTGTTATAGGTTCAACTAAAGTGTTATTTCATTATACAGTAACTGGTATAAAATGTCCATTTGTTTATTTTAGCACATTTGACAGAGTTGTCCCATTTATTCCTTTCCAAGCATTAAATAAACTATTAATAAACAGGTAAATTCATTAAATGAAAAGGACAAAACAGATTGCTTTTGAGAAACGACCTTTTTTATAAATTACCTTAGAATAAAAGTCCTAATATAACCTGCCAATTGAAAGTCAGTGACATATAAAGTTTAAATAATAATAATAATAATAATAACTAAATTAATGTTATTGCAATAGTTTTTTAATAACACAACAGAACTTAAAGTCAAAAATGTGTAATCAACATTATTTGTAGACTTGAGTTGTTTTTATAGGTTTTTATAAAGTTTTCGCTCCTTCAACGCGTCTCTGCAGCTCTGATGCGTTCAGGAACTTCAGGCGATTTTTGTTTCTTTCTGCTCATTCAGACACAAGACAAAGACCCAAACACATACTGGTCTTCTGCTTTTACCTGAAGCTTATTTTTTCCTCTCTCTAATTGAACTTTAAAGGAAAACATGTTCTTCTGATCGCAGCTGAGTTCGAGCAGCCGAACCTGAAGGCTTTAAATGAGGTTCTGGTTCAGAAATGATGGACCGATTAGTTGATCCGCAGCGTCTCCAACAGCGCCAGGAGGAGGATCTGCACGCACACACGCACACACGCACACACACAC